TTGATGGGTACCTTTATTTGGTATTCTTTATTATTTAATTCTATATCTTGTTCCATAAAAGGATAGTTTTGACATTAAGATTATTATTGTGTGGGCAACAGCTATTGTCATTAACCCTTATTGTCATTAACAAATGATTTGGTAGTAATAAATATTTGTCATTAAATTCATGCAATTTTAAAAAAAAACCCTTATTGAAAAGAAAATAAAAGAGGAGTTATAGGAGTTTTTTATGGATCAAAGCAGAGTAACAAAATATTACTTGCATAGTGAGGGCTTTTTGGCACAAAATACAAAAAACAATGGGTCATCTACATGAATTTTTTAGGGGTATTTTTATTAAACTTAAACTGTAGATGGGTATTTTAATAAGACCTTTGATGTGGTATTTTTAAGTTTGTAATGTGTTTTTTAGGGTATGTTTGAAAATAGTAGAAAAAAATTAACTTGTGCACCTCCAACCACTACCTCTCCCCTCCCCTCCCATCTCTCTAATCACTCCACTATCATTCAACCGTAGTCAACTTAGCTAATATCACAATTTAGTTTATCAAATTTAGGAATTAGTCCTCAATACTGCTATATAAAATCTTTGATTGCCCAATGTTTGTCATATCAAACTTTTATCATGACCTAAAGGCCTTGGCGTGGTTACCATGCAAAAATTCCACCATGGATGGGACTAATGGCCTTTGGCCAACCATTCAAAAAATAACTGATGTAGGATACTTTCAATTTTCAGTTGTTCCATTATACCTACCCTTTGGTTAGTACAACGTGAAAAGTAGGAGGACTATTGCAAAACTAGACATGAGAAACCACATTCAACGAGTTAGAAAGATGATAAAACAAAAATTAAAATTTTATTTACTTTTCGTTTAAACATATTTTGCTTTTATTTTCAATTTTACATGCTAAACATGCAAGTATACTAACTCATCGTTTTACCATGACAGATGCAAATGAAAGTGGAAACGGTTAGGAAAGCTGCTCTCATTGCTACAATATTAAGGACTAGTGGAATGGTATTTTGGACAAAAGAGTTAATAATATTATTATACAAGCCATTAAGAAATGTGTATCGGTCTAAAAATAATTTTCAAAAAAAAAACTTTGCATTTTATATGCTTAATCTATCTATTCTTTATAATTTTTTGATCATGTTCAACGGCAAAAAAGAAGAAAAAAAATATGTGTTCAACAAAAATCAAAGTTAACATATTGCAATTTGTATTATGATAATTATATAAGAAAAGACTTAAGAATATTCCACAGGAGTCAGTATTGATAGATTATGTGCTTAACTAATCATGTTTTACATGGAAAATTAAGATGGGTGCCTTTTTCAGTTACAGATATTCAACTAACTAATTATTACATCAATTAAGTAAAAATGTCTTTACAGTATACATATATATATATATATATATATATATATATATATATATAATGTGAGGATCTCAAAATTTTATTAATTTCTGAAAAATTAAATCAAAAATATCATCTGAATATTGAATTTATTAAATAATATGTATTTGTATTTAAATATTGCTGTGTTACTTATATAAATGTTATATTTTAAATTAAAGGAATTTTAAAAATTTAATTGACGTTTCGCGTTCGGCTAAGCATTAAGTTGGATTTTCGCGCACCAACGCGCAATGTAGCTCTAAGTTGAACTGTAGGATATGTAGAGGTTATAAAAATGTATAATTAAGTTGAGGAAATGCTAGATGAGGAATTCCCACCATTATTGGCATGCCCAAAAAGTCAACTAGCCTACTCACTAGATTACCCCAATTTTCCTCCCATCTTGTCGCCAGCTACCCACCCTTTTCTTTCCCTCCAAGCTCCCGATCCTCTGGTGCAAGAAGAAGCAGAAGCCGCTGCCATTCCAAGCTTCCAACAGCCTTCCATCTTCAGCCATTCACACCCCAATCTTCAAGCTTCCATTTCCAGCTTCCACCCCCATTCCTTGCTGCTGTCTCGATCGAGCAAGGAAAAGGAGGATCGCAGCTCCTCCTACTGCTGGCGTTGTGTCGGACCAGGGGAGAAGGAGAAACCAGCTGCCATTTTTCTTTCCTCCAACCACAGACCCTTCCAAGCTGACCCTCTGTGGTTCTAGGAGAAACTTGAGGAACTAGACAATACCTTTAGCTAGTAAACAACCTGCTTGAAGGTAACAAACTCCAGCTTAACCCCTTAGCCAAAAAAAAAAAAAAGAATTTCAGATTTTAGAAGCTTTTGTTCTTGAAATTTCTAGCTTGTGTTGATAAAATTATTGGGTGGCTGATCCTCTAAGCTAATGATTGATGAAGCTAGAGGTGATTTACGTATTTATATGTGTGTTTTTGCTGAAGTTAGAGGTTGAGAAAATTTTGAAAGAATGGAAAGGAATGCTGGCCGAATGGGAAGGCAAAAATTCCAGCTTTGTTGCCGCTTGTCTTCCTGCTATTTTTGCTTAAGTAATGAACTGAACTGTTTGTTGGGATGTTAGCCTAGTTGGTTGTGGTTGTTATGGACATGATGTATGAGTTTAGAAGTAGAAAATTTTTTAGGAAATGAAGAGAAAATTCTGCTCTGCTAAATCGAACCAACAAGCCTATTTTTCTTCCAACTTTACTCGAATTTTTGAGCTGGTTTTGTGAAGTAATTGAGCTACTTAAATCATGTATATGTTAACCTATATGTGTAGTGTAGTTTTGGCTGAATTATAGCTTTTGGGTAGTTGAAAAATTTTGGACAAATTGAAGGGAAAGAGGACTGCTGCTGTCCAATGAACCTCCAGCTTTGCATAGGAAATGTTGAACTGTTTTCACGTTAACTTGAACCCAATCGATTTGTGTTTAGTTCAGGGGTTTGTATAGCTCAATTTGGGACAAAAATCTAGTAGAGTTTACGTCCAAAAAGTGGACCAAAATTTTGTTCTTCATGATTCTACTAAAACAGATTTTTCTGTTTGAAATTGGAATTTGACAAACTTAAGGAGTTTCTATTTTATAGAAATTCTAAAGGCTAGTTTTACTTGGTTTTTATGATTTCCTCTTAAAAGAAACTTCCTCAGATATTTTTTTTGGGGAAAAGTAGAGGGGAAATTTCTCTAAATGGTTTAAATGTGATTTTCTCAACTTGTGACACCAAATTTATTGTTAATTATTTGGGTGGTTCTAAAAATTTGTTGGTGGAATATTTGAAGAATTTAACAAGTTTTTGGTTTTATAGAAACCTCAAAAGTTAATTCCACTTGATATTCGTGACTTTCACTTTGAGAAAACGATTAAAGCTAGTTTGGAATCCTTGAGTGGAATTAAATGCTAGTTAACTCGAGTTAAACTCGCCAACTCAAAAGTAGAAATTTATGTGAATTATTTGTATGTTTTTTTAGGAGTTGGTGAAGGGCACAATCTTGGTCAAAGTTTGGAATTCTAAACACTTCACTTAAGGTGAGTGTCTCTCGCATGAATTGTGTTTAACTGCTAGATGAACTACTTGTTATAAGTACTTGCCTGAGATACCATGAAATATGACCTGCTATGTGATCATGTGAAATACCATAAGTACAAGGTTTGCAATGTCGATTGGAGCGCTGTCTCGTCGACTAAATAAACCAAACGGAAGCATGTACCATGCTTTAATGAAGTGGGAGGTACCTCTCGGCCGTTTTGGTAAAAGTACTTGCAATATTCATGTTGGAGTCGGGCCCGAAAATAAGGGGGAGATCGTTGCTAGGAGACAAGTAGAGTGGGAAATATTCTACATGGAGGTTAGGTAGTGAAAGTTGACGGAGTGTCAACTACTAAAAATTTCCTGATCAAGCGCGTGGACGTTGGCTCCTGAGAGCCCCGTATCCTTTTCTTGTCATGTTAATTCGCTTTCTTAAATTATTAATTGCTTACTTGACAACTTATACTTGTTAATTGGCCCTATGTGAATTGCATGTTTCGAGGCACCACTGAGCTATTGGCTCATCTCTTCCAATTTGTTTTCCTTGACAGGTTCCGAAATGCAAGAAACCTTGGAGATCTAGAATAGAAATGTTATCTTTGGAATGCCCACTTTTGTAATTGTACTTTGGGAAAACTTTAGTATCTTTTGGACGACTTTTGTGTCTTTGAGAAAATGTGAATCCTGTGGTGCTTCTGTACCCTGGATTAGGAACTTTACATTGTAAATTAAGTTGAAGTTAAGTATTTTAAGTTCGACGTTTTCATTGGTGTTTGAATTTTACTTTTGGACGGGGTAAGTTGAATGGTACAATTTGTTTAAGTACTTGGCTTATTCGGGAGGTAAAGTTTATTTATGAATTATATTTGATGATGTTAGCTAGTTGAGCGAGTGAGTCCTAGCGAGAGTTAGGCAGGCGACCCACCAACCCTTTGGTTCGCCTTAGAGGGAAGTGGGGCCGTCATGGGTGGTATCAGAGCCTTAGGTTAGAACGTATTTGGGAGAATTGTTAGGTATTTTATTTCTAGGAATAGGAATGAGATACTTAGATATATTTTAAGTGATAATTGTTCAAGGGAATGGTGCTAAGGTTTAACTTTGAAAGTTTTGGCTGTTTTGTAGGTATGGAGAACTCTAATGGGAACGGACATGCTGCTAATGGTAACGGGCACGTGAATGGTCACACGCCGCCTCTTAGGCCTATTTCTTACCGAGTTCAGGGTGGTGGAGCTCGTGTTCAGTACTCGTCCGCCACCAGGGTTCCTAGGTGTGACTGTAGGTTGACCTTCTCTTACCCCAATCGCTTGGTTCTAACTATAGACGATGAACGTCGACAGTTGGTGAATTCCAACATAGCCCTGATTCAGGACGTGGACGAGTTGGGTGCCATGGTGGCTAATCTGCAGAATAGGGTAGCAGAGCTGACTGGAAGGGTGATAGAGGAGAGAGCTAGGGCTGAGGCAGACCGTGAGGAGCTACAGAGAGCAAGAGACAGCTTGGCTAGGATGAGAGACATGGTTCGTGAGTGAGCTTCTGGGATACTAGTGGATGCTACCATGTTGATGGATGAGGTGATGGATGAGGTCTCAGAGGTAGTTTCTAGTGCTGAGGAGGATCCAAAGGAGGATCCGGAGGAGGATCCTGATAAAGGGAATCCATCTGATGGTCCCGTTGAGAACTAGGCATAGTTAACCACCCTTTTGACTTGTAACCCTTAAACAATGGTTGGGATGGTGCTAACTCCTGGGCCATTGTATTTTTGTAATTGTATGGCTCGCTTTTGTGATGTTGCACTTCTTTTGAATGTAAAGGACTGGCTGCACCTGGTAGCACCTTTGTGCTATATTTTTGTAAAATCCCAACGAAATGCTAATTGTAGGAATTTCAAAAATTAATGTATGCGTTAGTTGTGGTTATTTTATCGCTCTCAAGTTGATCTTCATTTTACATAATTTTTCTGCGTCGTTCTTTAATTTTACATAAATTTCTGCATACTTACTTCTCTTTCTTGCATTAGGCTAGGTATGGATCATCGTGGTAGAGGTCGAGACCGAAGTCGAGGTCGAGGTCGAGGGAGACGGGTTGAACCCCTCCGTGATCAAGGGAGCGATAGAGCGTCTGAGGTGAACCAAAATCGTGGACCCGAGGGCGGGGGCGGAGATCAAATGGTCACCGCTATTAATAGGATAACTGAAGTATTAGAGCATTTGGCGGACCGTCAAGGTCCTGGATTAGCGCAACAACAACCTGGAGGGCAGGTAGATACAGAAGATAGGGCCTTGGAAAGGTTCCTGAAGTTTGGGCTGCCTAAGTTTCAAGGTGAGCCAGAGCCTGAGATAGTTGAGGGATGGTGGGAGAGAATATCTGATATTTTTGCCACCCTGGATTACACTGAGGGGCGAAAGGTGACCTTTGCGTCATTTCAATTTGAGGGAGTTGCACGGTCATGGTGGAATCTAATTAAGGCTAAGTGGGATAGAGACCGTACCCCTAGTACTTGGGCAAACTTCACCTGTGAGTTTAATGCCAAATTCCTTCTACCCCTAGTCCAAGAGAAAAGGGAAGATGACTTTATTAAGTGCAAACAAGGGGCCATGAGTGTAGCAGAGTATGAGACCAACTTCACTAAATTAGCTCGTTATACCCCTGACCTTGTGGCCACGGAGCAGAGACGCATTAAGAGATTTGTGCAAGTGCTCAATGTAGAGATTCAAGAGGGGCTAGCAACTCCTCAAATTAGCACTTATAGTGACGCCGTGGAGAAAGCTCAGAGGTTTGAGACGGTTAGAGCCCAATCTAAGTCATTCTTTGCTAGAAAAAGGAATGCCCCTAGTAGTCGTAGGGACCCAGTTTCGGCAAGTGCCTCACCACTTAAGATGGGTAGAGGAACTGGGGTAGTGAACATCCCTAGTGCTTTGAGAGGTGCTTTAGCAAGGGTTGCTAGAACTAGAGGTTCTGGGGCGAGAGGTTCTGGAATGAGAGGAGGTCAAAGTGGAAGGGGACCCCCTAGGAGTGCTCCGCGCGTTGAACAAGTGTCAACCCCTCAAATAACCTGTGGATACTGTGGAAAAGCCAATCATACCGCAAATGAGTATGGGAGAAAGGAGGGCAAGTGCCTCAGGTGTGGAAGTGCTGAGCACCAAATTGCTAATTGTCCTAAGATTTTCGAGAATGGGGAAAGCCAAGGAGGTGCCACAAGTTCTAGGCAAACTGCTTCTGGAGGGAGTCGGCCAAAGGTTCCGGCCAGGGTTTACGCCCTAGATAGTCAACCTGTACCTGACCCTTCGGAGGTAGTCGAAGGTACATTTCCAATTTTTCACCGATTAGCTAAGGTTTTAATTGATCCTGGTGCGACCCATTCATTTGTTAATCCTACTTTTATGTGTGGAATTGATGTAAAGACTGTACGATTACCCTATGATTTGGAGGTTAGGACTCCTACGAGTAACAAGAGCATACTCACTAGCTTAGTTTATCAGGAGTGTGAATTCTGGATTGGGGAAAGAAAAATGCTAGTTGACTTGGTGAGTTTGGACCTTAAGGGGTATGATGTGATTATAGGAATTGACTTTTTGTCTTACCACCATGCTAAGCTAGATTGTAGAGTTAAAGTGGTGGACTTTTGCATCCCAGGTGAGGCAACTCTTAAGTTAGATGTAAAGGGTAGATTAGTTTCGTCTGCTTTGATTTCAGGGATTCGAACTAGGAAAATGCTTTACAAGGGAGCCCAGAATTTCTTAGCTTTCTTAATTAACGGCCCTAGTGACCAAGTGAAATTAGACGATGTGCCAATCGTGCGAGACTTTCCTGATGTCTTCCCTGAAGAATTAACATCTTTACCACCTGAAAGGGAGATAGAGTTTAAGATTGACTTGGTACCAGGAGTAGTTCCAATTTCTAAGACTCCTTATAGAATGGCTCCTGCGGAATTGAAAGAACTAAAGATCCAGTTACAGGACCTGCTAGAAAGAGGTTTTATTAAGAAAAGTGACTCACCGTGGGGAGGTCCAGTTTTGTTTGTAAAGAAAAAGGATGGAAGTTTGAGACTGTGCATTGACTATCGAGGTTTAAATGAGGTGACTATTAAGAATAAATACCCTTTGCCCTTGATTGATGGATTATTTGACCAATTGCAAGGATCAGTAGTATACTCTAAGTTAGATTTGAGACAAGAGTACTATCAATTGAAGATTAAAAAGGAAGACATACCTAAAACTGCTTTCAATTCTAGATATGGGCACTTTGAGTTTGCAGTGATGCCCTTTGGGTTGACCAATGCCCCGGCTGCTTTCATGGATTTAATGCAGAGAATCTTTAAGAAATATCTAGACCAATTTGTAGTGGTATTCATAGATGACATTCTAGTATATTCTAAGACCCGAGAGGATCATGCCAAGCACTTGGAGATAGTTTTACAAGTGTTGAGAGAACATAAGCTTTACGCTAAGTTCAGTAAGTGCGAATTTTGGCTGGAAGAAATTTCTTTTTTGGGTCATAGAATCTCTAAGAATGGAATCGCTATGGATCCAACTAAAGTGGAGGCAGTTACTTTATGGAAACAACCAGAGAATCCAACTGAAATTAGAAGTTTCTTGGGATTGGCAGGTTATTACCGTCGTTTTATAAAAGATTTCTCAAAAATTGCTGGGCCAATGACGGAGTTAACTAAGAAAAACCATAAGTTCATTTGGAGCCCAAAATGTGAAACGAGTTTTCAAGAGTTGAAGAGGCGTTTGACTACGGTTCCAGTGTTAGCCTTACCTGAGGGAGTTGATGGGTATGTGGTGTATTCTGATGCTTCTAAAGAAGGGTTAGGCTGTGTTTTAATGCAAAAGGAAAAAGTTGTAGCCTATGCTTCTAGGAAATTAAAACCCCATGAGATGAATTACCCGACCCATGACCTAAAGTTGGCTGCTGTTATTTTTGCTTTGAAAAAGTAGAGACATTACTTGTATGGGGTAACATTTGACGTATTCACAGACCATAAGAGCCTTAAGTATCTGTTTTCACAAAAGAAGTTAAACCTGAGGCAGAGGTGATGGGTAGAATTCCTTGAGGATTATGATTGCTCAATCAATTATCACCCTGGGAAAGAAAATGTGATTGCAGATGCACTAAGTAGGAGGGTTCAAGTAGCGGGTCTAATGGTGAGAGAATGGGATATGTTAGAAAAAGCGAGTGGTTGGAATTCTCGTTTAGAAAAGTTGAAAATTCTGTTTGGAAATCTATCCTTAAAGTCCCCTTTGTTAGAAAGAATTAAGGAGGTTCAAGGGAAGGATCCAGTAGTACAGGGTTATTTTGAGAAAATGAGAAAGGGGGAAACCCTAGATTTTAAACTAGGACCTGGAGGCATCTTGAGATTTAGGGATCGAATAGTGGTACCTAATGAAGAGGATTTTAAGAGAGAAATTTTAGAGGAGTCACATCGGTTTAAGTATACTATTCACGCTGGAGTTAGCAAAATGTATCAAGATGTGAAAGGGCTTTATTGGTGGGATGGTTTAAAAAGGGATGTGGCGAAATTTGTGCAAACTTGTCTAGTGTGTCAGCAGGTTAAGGCTGAACATCAAAAGCCTTCTGGTCTGTTACAACCCTTAGAAATCCCTGAGTGAAAATGGGAACATATTACCATGGATTTTGTGATGGGTTTACCTAGAAATCAAAAGGGGCATGATGCAGTTTGGGTGATAGTGGATAGGCTTACTAAATCTACACATTTCTTACCTGTGAAAATGAGTTACTCTTTAGAGAAACTAGCCAAGTTGTACACAGAAGAAATTATGAGATTACATGGTATTCCTGTAAGTATTGTCTCCGATCGAGACCCTAGATTCGTTTCCCACTTTTGGCAGAAATTTCAGGAAACTTTGGGGACTAAATTGAAATTGAGCACTGCATATCATCCTCAGACAGATGGGCAATCGGAGAGGACAATGCAAACCCTAGAGGATATGTTAAGATCCTGTATATTAGATTTCGGAGGGAGTTGGAGCCAGTACATGACGTTGGTAGAGTTTGCTTATAATAACAGTTATCAGGCTTCAATCCAAATGGCACCGTATGAAGCGCTTTATGGTAGAAGGTGTCGATCTCCGATTCATTGGGATGAAATAGGAGAGAAGAGAGTTTTAGATCCGACAGCTATCCCATGGATCGAAGAAGCTTACGAGAAGGTTAAGCTGGTTAGGGAGAGACTTTAGACCGCTCAAAGTCGTCAGAAGAGTTACGCGGACAATCGAAAAAAAAACTTGGAATTTGAAGTAGGAGACAAAGTCTTTCTAAGAGTTAAACCTATGAAAGGAGGGGTAGTATCCAAGAAGGGAAAGAAATTAAAGCCGAGGTACATTGGACCCTTTGAAATTCTCAAACGAATTGGAAAAGTGGCTTATCAGCTGGATTTACCTCCAAGTATGAGCAAGATCCATAATGTCTTCCACGTATCTATACTTAAGGAATATCATCCTGACCCAAGTCATGTGATTCAATTGGATAAAGTTGATGTAGACGAATCTTTGACATATGAAGAGCGACCAGCTAAGATTTTGGATCGAGAAATTAAGGAATTGAGGAATAAGCAGATTGCCTTAGTCAAGGTCTTATGGAAAAATCATGACGTCGAGGAGGCAACTTGGGAGGTAGAGAAGGACATGAAAGACCAGTACCCAGAGTTATTCGTCTGAACAGGTAAAAATTTTGAGGATAAAATTCTTTTAAGGGGGGAAGGATGTGAGGATCTCAAAATTTTATTAATTTCTGAAAAATTAAATCAAAAATATCATCTGAATATTGAATTTATTAAATAATATGTATTTGTATTTAAATATTGTTGTGTTACTTATATAAATGTTATATTTTAAATAAAAGGAATTTTAAAAATTTAATTGACGTTTCGCGTTCGGCTAAGCATTAAGTTGGATTTTCGCGCACCAACGCGCAATGTAGCTCTAAGTTGAACTGTAGGATATGTAGAGGTTATAAAAATGTATAATTAAGTTGAGGAAATGCTAGATGAGGAATTCCCACCATTATTGGCATGCCCAAAAGGTCAACTAGCCTACTCACTAGATTACCCCGATTTTCCTCCCATCTTGTCAACAGCTACCCACCCTTTTCTTTCCCTCCAAGCTCCCGATCCTCTGGTGCAAGAAGAAGCAGAAGCCGCTACCATTCCAAGCTTCCAACAGCCTTCCATCTTCAGCCATTCACACCCCAATCTTCAAGCTTCCATTTCCAGCTTCCACCCCCATTCCTTGCTGCTGTCTCGATCGAGCAAGGAAAAGGAGGATCGCAGCTCCTCCTGCTGCTGGAGTTGTGTCGGACCAGGGGAGAAGGAGAAACTAGCTGCCATTTTTCTTTCCTCCAACCACAGACCCTTCCAAGCTGACCCTCTGTGGTTCTAGGAGAAACTTGAGGAACTAGAAAATACCTTTAGCTAGTAAACAACCTGCTTGAAGGTAACAAACTCCAGCTTAACCCCTTAGCCAAAAAAAAAAAAAAAGAATTTCAGATTTTAGAAGCTTTTGTTCTTGAAATTTCTAGCTTGTGTTGATAAAATTATTGGGTGGCTGATCCTCTAAGCTAATGATGGATGAAGCTAGAGGTGATTTATGTATTTATATGTGTGTTTTGCTGAAGTTAGAGGTTGAGAAAATTTTGAAAGAATGGAAAGAAATGCTGGCCGAATGGGAAGGCAAAAATTCCAGCTTTGTTGCCGCTTATCTTCCTGCTATTTTTGCTTAAGTAATGAACTGAACTGTTTGTTGGGATGTTAGCCTAGTTGGTTGTGGTTGTTATGGACATGATGTATGAGTTTAGAAGTAGAAAATTTTTTAGGAAATGAAGAGAAAATTCTGCTCTGCTAAATCGAACCAACAAGCCTATTTTTCTTCCAACTTTACTCGAATTTTTGAGCTGGTTTTGTGAAGTAATTGAGCTACTTAAATCATGTATATGTTAACCTATATGTGTAGTGTAGTTTTGGCTGAATTATAGCTTTTGGGTAGTTGAAAAATTTTGGACAAATTGAAGGGAAAGAGGACTGCTGCTGTCCAATGAACCTCCAGCTTTGCATAGGAAATGTTGAACTGTTTTCACGTTAACTTGAACCCAATCGATTTGTGTTTAGTTCAGGGGTTTGTATAGCTCAATTTGGGACAAAAATCTAGTAGAGTTTACGTCCAAAAAGTGGACCAAAATTTTGTTCTTCATGATTCTACTAAAACAGATTTTTCCGTTTGAAATTGGAATTTGACAAACTTAAGGAGTTTCTATTTTATAGAAATTCTAAAGGCTAGTTTTACTTGGTTTTTATGATTTCCTCTTAAAAGAAACTTCCTCAGATATTTTTTTTGGGGAAAAGTAGAGGGGAAATTTCTCTAAGTGGTTTAAATGTGATTTTCTCAACTTGTGACACCAAATTTATTGTTAATTATTTGGGTGGTTCTAAAAATTTGTTGGTGGAATATTTGAAGAATTTAACAAGTTTTTGGTTTTATAGAAACCTCAAAAGTTAATTCCACTTGATATTCGTGACTTTCACTTTGAGAAAACGATTAAAGCTAGTTTGGAATCCTTGAGTGGAATTAAATGCTAGTTAACTCGAGTTAAACTCGCCAACTCAAAAGTAGAAATTTATGTGAATTATTTGTATGTTTTTTTAGGAGTTGGTGAAGGGCACAATCTTGGTCAAAGTTTGGAATTCTAAACACTTCACTTAAGGTGAGTGTCTCTCGCATGAATTGTGTTTAACTGCTAGATGAACTACTTATTATAAGTACTTGCCTGAGATACCATGAAATATGACCTGTTATGTGGTCATGTGAAATACCATAAGTACAAGGTTTGCAATGTCGATTGGAGCGCGGTCTCGTCGACTAAATAAACCAAACGGAAGCATGTACAACGCTCTAATGGAGTGGGAGGTACCTCTCGGTCGTTTTGGTAAAAGTACTTGCAATATTCATGTTGGAGTCGGGCCCGAAAATAAGGGAGAGGTCGTTGCTAGGAGACAAGTAGAGTAGGAAATATTCTACATGGAGGTTAGGTAGTGAAAGTTGACGGAGTGTCAACTACTAAAAATTTCCTGATCAAGCGTGTGGACGTTGGCTCCTGAGAGCCCCGTATCCTTTTCTTGTCATGTTAATTCGCTTTCTTAAATTATTAATTGCTTACTTGACAACTTATACTTGTTAAATTGGCCCTATGTGAATTGCATGTTTCGAGGCACCACTGAGCTATTGGCTCATCCCTTCCAATTTGTTTTCCTTGACAGGTTCTGAAATGCAAGAAACCTTGGAGATCTAGAATAGAAATGTTATCTTTGGAATGCCCACTTTTGTAATTGTACTTTGGGAAAACTTTAGTATCTTTTGGATGACTTTTGTGTCTTTGGGAAAATGTGAATCTTGTGGTGCTTTTATGCCCTGGATTAGGAACTTTACATTGTAAATTAAGTTGAAGTTAAGTATTTTAAATTCGACGTTTTCATTGGTGCTTGAATTTTACTTTTGGACGGGGTAAGTTGAATGGTACGATTTGTTTAAGTACTTGGCTTATTCGGGAGGTAAAGTTTATTTACGAATTATATTTGATGATGTTAGCTAGTTGAGCGAGTGAGTCCTAGCGAGAGTTAGGCAGACGACCCGCCAACCCTTTGGTTCGCCTTAGGGGGAAGTCGGGCCGTCACATATAATTGATGAAATTTCTGCAAAGATAGATGTCATGTTCGTTCTAATTCTAAAATTTTTTGTGGTTGCAAGTGACGTTAAATCGTGGAGTAAGTGTGAATGTCTTCATTTAAATAGTAAATTATGCGTATTAAATTGATGATTACTTGTTAAAACAATCCCAAAAATTGGATTTAGGAGGGCAAATACACTGGACAAGCATTGGATGAGCAATTTTGGGCTTTGTTGTTGAAAATTGGCAAGATAAAACTTATTAGGTTGAATTGTAAGACAATTAAAAGTACTATAATTCCCTAACCTTAATAATACCAAGTATGCTAACTAATTGCTATTTCTTTTTTCTTTTTTTTGTTCAGTGTATAAACCAGTCCCTAGGAACAATTTTAGTATATTAGTTTGATTCCTTTATAGAAACCAAACAACTCCTATTCTTTGTGCAGAATAAAGTTAGTTGAGTCCTAATTTTTTTTTCACGCAATTGCAATCCCTATCCCTAAAATGTGATCAAATAGTGATGATTAGCCATATTTTAGAGCACCTAAGAAAAATCATCTTTGATTTCTTAGGTTGATTTTTAGCTTACCAAAAGATCACACCGTATCAAACAATACCAAATACCCAAAGAAAAAATTAAAAAAAGAAAAGAAAAACTTTTTAACACGTTGAATACTTTAATGTCTTGAAAATAGCCACATGCATGCATTTTACACACCTATAGACTTTTACCCTTTTTTGTTTTTTTTTTATATTGACAAACATTATGCTTCGCTAGTCATGTGTATTATTTTGACATTTCTAGTCTTACTTTATATTATAAAATTAAGGATAAATTACATTAACCTCCCCTCTACTTTTTATCAAAAGTCAAAAACCCTTATTGAATTTAGAATTATAAGAATCTTCCATCTTATTTGTGAGAAAACATCAAAAACTTCCCCTACTCTTAATAAAGAGAGAGAAATTAATATTTTTGTCATAAATTGACTTCAATGTATCCAAAATGCGCTTACAATGATATAAATAATTATTTCCAAAAGAAAATAAAAAGAATAGGATGAGTTATAATTTCTTTTCATCAAATTTATAGTTGAAAAAGATTGATGACAATTAATTGTATGCATAGCTATAAAAGTTGGTCCTCCTTCAGTTTTATCTTTTACTTTTCAATTAACTTATTGTATTTTTAGATGTAGGTATACATTAGTTTTTCTTTTTTTTCATGCATTAACCTGGCATTAAGTTGATGTCGTGATTCCATTATCTCATATTCATGTGTATATGACTTGAGATTTCACTAGATTAAAGGATTTGATAAGTGTATGGTTTGGAGATACCTAATTTTGATTTTAATCCATGTTATTATAGAAATAGATACATGTATATACCTTTTTATTTTGATTGGTGAAAATAAAAGGTCGAAACAATAAATAATATAGGTATTCAATTTCCATGAATAAATCTCTCTTTTCTACCTTTTTCTTGCTTTTAGGAGAGAATTATAACTTTTTCTCCTTTTTGCTTAATATAAAGAACGTGAACAAGAAAAGTAAAGAGTAAACTTACAAAGTCAAAACTATCATAACTGTTAGTTGGATGTAAGTAATGATAAGAGAGGTCATGCTATTTGGAAATCAAGAGGACATGACTCTAACTTTTGCTAGAACTAGAAGAGAAGTTAGTGTAATTTACCCTAAAACTAATATTCAATTCATATTTTGCACTAGAATTTTAAAAATTTTCAGCTGCAAACTTCCTGAGCCGATGTCTAAGCCTTTATTAGTAATGATGTTATGATGACGATATCAATGTATAAAATTACAAAATTAACTATTTTAACTAAGTAATTGTGAATCATTTATGAAATTCCATCCCTTTGTGGTTAGTTCTTCTGGAAAGCAAGAATGAAGCAGTGGAGTGGAGAACTCTTACAGTTGGAATAATAACAGTAAATCTACTTTGTACTCAAATTTGTACATAATAAATGATAAATGTGGGAAAATTTTATGGTTCCTTTTTTTTTGGGTAGTAGGGAAAGGGTTGGATTTAAGAAACAGGGAGGAAGAAGAGGGATTTGAATCCAGGACCTCTAACTTTATAGTTCTTTTAGGCAAAAAATTCCCCCAATATATATCCCTTAATAAAGATAGCAGTCTATATCTTAAAAAATTTAAATTGTTCAATTTTGTGAGAACTTGAAAATTTGCTTATATTTTCTTATAATCATCTTTTATTTTGAATAGGTTAATTTATAATTCCTTTACTACTAATTTACTCCCTCAATTGTTATAATAAATAATAGAATCGAGAGTTTTACTTTTACTTTTATAGTTAAAGTAAGTTAGGGTTTTTGCGCATTTTGGTAGTGTGATCACTTGGTGAGGTGTGTGTACCAAATTTGGTGGATAAGAGCGAGTATTAAGTAAAAGGAAGTGTGTGATTAGAAGTGTTATTGATAAGTTAGTGAATCATTAGTTAAAACTGTGACGGCCCCACCTCTCCCTAGGGCGTACCCTACGGTTCCGCGTCTATAATGCGTTTCAAATTTAACGTACACTAACTTATACTAGGAAAATGATTTAAAACTGTACTTGCTTATAAAAATGCATAGAAATTTTAATATTGTAAAGGCAAGTATAAAAATGTAGGCAAAAATAAAATAATGCCTAGAAAATGTGAAAATTTTCGGGTAAAAATGTGAAAATGTCAAAAGTTTCTACCTCCGAAATTTCATGGAGGGCCTGATCCGGATATAGCTGAACGGTGGTTGAAGGCAATGATTAATATCTTCGCGGTTTTGAATTATACGAAGCAAAGACAAGTAAACTTTGCTGTATTTCAAATCGAAGGACTAGCCCGAGCATGGTGGAATGTTATTAGGGCAAAGTGGGAGAGGGAACAGATTGCATGGATATGGGCGAATTTCATAAGAGAATTTAACGAGAAGTATCTCCCATCTTTAGTCCAAGAAAGGAGAGAAGACGAGTTTATTGGGTTACGTCAGGAAACCCAAAGTGTGGCCGAATATGAGACTAAATTTACCAAACTGTCCAAGTTTGTTTCTGAATTGGTGGCCACGGAGCGGGGAAGAGTGAAACGGTTCATACAAGGATTGAATCTGAAAATCCAGGAAGCTTTAGCGGTGGTTCAGGTCAATACCTTTACGGAAGCCCTTGAGAAAGCCCAAAGGATTGAGGATGCAAAGGCACAGGTCAAAGCCTTCCAAACACGGAAAAAGGGTGCATCTGGTAGTATATTTGAGGAATCTAGCGAAAAGATAGCGCCTTCTAAAGTATAAAAAGTGAACCCTTCACCCCGCCCACCATGGACATTAGGAGCACTAGATGAAAGATCTACCAAAAGAAGTCAGATAGATCATGGGGAAATTTCTCTAGAAAGCCAAAAAGTGGCTTCTCACCTGGCCTGCGGATATTGTGGAAAGGCAAATCATACTGAGAATGAGTGTTGGAGGAAAGGGCGAAAATGTTTGATTTGTGGAAGTAGCGATCACCAAATTAGTAGTTGCCCGATGAAGCAGCCAAGGGGGAATAGTGCTCAATCACTGGATAGAACCAAACCGAAACAAGTGAATGAAAGAGAGAATCGAACAAAAGTACCGGCAAAGGTATATGCCTTAGACAACCAACAAGCTCCTGAGGCATCTGAAGGTAAAAAAAATTTCGAGGACGAAATTTCTTAAGGGGGAGAGAGTGTGAGAACCCGAAAATTTTCACATTTTCTAGGCATTATTTTATTTTTGCCTACATTTTTATACTTTCCTTTACAATATTAAAATTTCTATGCATTTTTATAAGCAAGTACAGTTTTAAATCATTTTCCTAGTATAAGTTAGTGTACGTTAAATTTGAAATGCATTATAGATGCGGAACCCTAGGGTACACCCTAGGGGGAGGTGGGGCCGTCACAAAAACAAAAGTACAAGGGAATTAATGAAAATAGGTTTGAACCGACGTGCGCCGTTTGTTACCGGTTGAGTACACTACTTGACCAATATTTTCCTACCTTAATCTCCTTGATTTTATTTCATTTAATCCTCCCTAATTTAATCCTAGTGTCAGTCGAAATTGTTGACCATAAACAAGAGGAAAAGAAAAAAAAAAAAAGAAAAACTTGGTTGCCAAGTGTTGGCAATCCAAGATAGGTTTGACCAAAGGAATTTCTTCCTTCTTATCTTTTTGTTGGGCCAAATTTTCCTCCATTTCTTCTTGTCTTGGCTGAGAGCTTGGAAAGAAAAAGGAGAGGAAAAAAACTTCCATTTCCATCTTGATTTTGCCTTGTTTGAGTTAGAATCACAAAAACTAAACCCAACAAACTAGCACTAAGGAAGCAAGGAAGCTTGTAGCGGAGAGTTTTTGGTAAGGAAAGCTTGGTTCTTTACTTTTTCATGTGGTTTTGAAGGTATAAGTTGAATAATTTCCTTTTTCTTTCTTATTCTTGCAAAATATGGTGAAGATGACTTGAATCTTGGAATATTATGGATGATACTCTAGATTTGGTGAAGATTAGCGAAATTTTAGATAGGGTTTGTGATTTTCAGCCTTGATTTATGTTGTTTAACTATTATATGTTGGTATTAAGCTTGGCTATGGACTTGTGAGGTGATTGGTAGCTTTATTGTGACTTTTTAGATTCTAGATGGAAATTTCCAGCTTTATTCGGGATTTTTCAGCTTTGGTAATATGATGATATATGCTAGAAATGAGCTACAATTGGATGATTTTATGGCCTAGATTATGAGTTGCTTTTATCTTATTACTTGTAATGTTGATTTGGGGCTGATTTGGAAAGAAAATGAAGCCTTGAAATGGCTGGAAAAAAATTGGTTAAAACAAAGGAAATACTGCCCAATTTTTCTTTCGTGGGATAAGTGAGTGAAAATGGAAATACGTGTGTGACTTGTGAGCGATTTGGGACTTAGTTATGTAGGGATGCTTAAGTTGACTTTGTGGGCGACTTATAAGCTAAAATTTTGCCCAAAAGTGTATATTTCTCAAAAACAAAGTAACGACCACTTTAAACACTATTTTCTAGTTTCTTCCACCAAGTTGCGAATTTAAACATTTTAATTGCTTCTTTATCGAAACCAAAAGAGCGAGCATGAATTTTCTAGGGTTTAATAAGTAAAATGAGTACTACTTAAATGAGTTCTATTTATTTTATTTTCTTTAAGCGAAATTTCCATATTTTGAAACCTTAGTTGATTGCAAATTGTTAAACGGTATTTTATCGCAGATTTGGATTCCAGCCAGGGAGTTGAACCTGAGTTTGGTTTTGGAAAGCAATAGCTCATTGGTGAGTGTTTCCAAGTGCATGATTGAACTTAATATTTGAATGAATGTTTTGCTAATGCGATTGGATGGTACTTGAATTGTTTGGACGGGTAAGGGTGTATTTTATCGCACTTGCCCTAATGTGACTTATTACTGTTCACTGGTTACTGTTGACTTGATATACATGTGTATGTTTCGAATATTATCTGGAATTCGAAAAACCCTGTAGTTAGTTAATCGAGTTGAGTCGGCAAGGATTTGGTCGATTAAATAACGAACCCTAGGTCTACTGCTTTGTCGAGTGGAGTGTTATCTTCTCGACTAATTGGTATACTCGAGTATTACCACCACTGTTATATTGGAGTTCGGGCTCGATAGGGGGTTTGAATGATGGATGGAAATTGGAGTTAAGTGGTGCACTACTGGACTGGTTACTCTACTTAAAAGTTGACGGAGTGTCAACTACTACTTGGTGAAGTTATGGCGGAGTTAATTCGCAAGAACTACTGTATCCTTTTATCTGAAAATATTGGACATCTAATGATTTGCTATTTGAAGTGTTATTACTCATTTTTATGAACTCTTATGCTCGCTACTTTGATATTTCAAGTTTTATACGGTGGTCAATTTGTTACTTGATTTTTGCATGATGTTTGGAACCTCACTGAGTTTTGACTCACCCTATTAGTTTTGTTTTCCTTACAGGGGGTACGAGCATGGGTGTGAGGTTGGTACAGGCTAGCGTCATCTAGTTTTTGACTTTTGTGATTGTACTCGCGCTAGTGCTCGATTAGGGTTGAATATTATCTGGAACTTAAATCTTTTGTTATATTTGGGAATGTATGAACGATTGAGACAGACTTGAGCATAAATGTACATTCTAAGTTTGAAACTGTTGTTTCATTTCCTTTTGGAGTTATAACTTGTGTTCTTGAAGTCGAGAGTGAGTGAGTACTGGCGAGAGTTGGGCAGACGGTTCGCCGAACCTTGGGGTACGCCCTAGGGAAAGGTGGGGTCGTCACAAATTTAATGGTCAAAACTACTTATTTCACCATTCAATGGTGATTTTAATATAAGGCCTAAAACATTGTACATTTTAGCCATGCCTAAAGTACATATCTTGTATGGTAGTTACTACAAATGCTTGGAATTAATATTGGAAGTTTTACAACTGTTTAAATGCACTTCTCTTAAATTCTTTTATTATATAAAAACATAACTTAAAAATCCATACCATTTTGTTGCATAATTCTTACAAATACTCAAGTTGTAATGAAAATAATGGCCCCATTTGGATGGTAAGTTTTTTGGGTGTTTGTATAAAACTTCCACTATAACTTGCGGTTGAAATTGTAAAAAAATTTGTAGTTTTGAGGTTTGGAGAAAATTTTTCTTTTTCCTTTTCTTTTTAATTTTTTTTTGTTTTTTTTCCCTTTCTTCTTCCTATCTTCCTCCCTTTCCCCCCACCGCCGGTCGCTAACTACGCCACTGTCAATAGCAGGTCACCATTTTACCCCTTATTTTTTTTAAATCTCTCTCCTCTTCCCTCCTTTCTTCTTCTTCTCTTCCCGCCTCTTTCTTCCTTCCTTCTCCACCTCCCTCTCTCCCTTTCCTCTTTCCCGTCCTCCTCCTCAACCTCTTCCTTTCACTGGCTCCCTCCCTCTCTGGTTGCATAACCAGTTGTGCGGAGCAGAAAAAAAGAAAGAAAAAAATATCGGAGACATCAATGCCAATGTTGATGTTGACTGGCAATAGAGATGGAGGTGGGTTGAGGTGGGGGGAGGAGAAAGAAGAAGAAGAAAAGAAAGAAGGAAAATTTTTTATATATTTTTTGGGTATTTTAAGGTGTGTATTTTAAAAATTTTGAGAAATTTTTTGAGATTTTTGCACATAAGGTTATTAAAAAACTAGTAGAAGAAAAACTAGGCAAAAAACTAAACTACCAAATAGGGTCCATATTATTGGTTATTTGCAATATTTATACTTATGTCTCGTGTAAGGCTACTATCAAGTCAAGTCGAGTCGAATAGTTCAAAAGACTTGATTTTGAGCTCGAACTTGAGCTCGTCGAATTATTCAAAGTTGAGATTGAACTCGAGCTCGAGTTTATTTTACTTTACTTGATCTCGAGCTCAAGCTCAACCAAATTGAGCTCAAATGGGCCTAATCAAGTTCAATCGAGTTTTTGAGCTAAATTTTTTAGTAAATTTCATAATTTTATAATAAATAATTAAAAATATTATTATAAATATACTACTCAAAAGCCTCGAGGAGTACTTGAGTTTTGATTTTTTCTACTCGAACTTGACTCAAACTCAGCCAAGTCTAATCTCGAGTCAAGTCTTTGACCGAGCTCACGAATCTGAGCCGAGTAGTTTTATTAATTTGCACTCCTACTCTTTTATTTTTGGAGAAAATTTTGGGTTTCTGACAAGGAATTTGGTCTTTTATAAGAGAAAATTCTATAAAAAATTTTTAAATTCTCCAAAATTTTTGAAGAAAATGTTGAATAATATGAAATGTGGAGCTAGGATGATTAATTAACTTCCTAATTTTGGAGAAATTGCATATTTGCTTTGAAAAAATTCATGATTTTGATGACTTGGAATGCCTTGACTATGTTTATGGTGTTGCTAAACCAATTAAAGTGCATTGTGTTAAGTAAAATAGATTGTGTGTAAAAGTGTATAGTTGATCATTTTCTTCACTTTCACTAGAATATGAAAGTAATGGGATAAGCAAGCTTATGTTTGTGCAATTTACTCTTTGATTATTCTCCTAAATTCTTTGCTTGCTTATTAAGAGGGGATTTTGTTTTATGTTCATTCAAAAAAAAAACATGTGAACAAATGCGATTTTCTAGCTCTTAGAACTCTTGTACCGAGTAACCGGGGTCTTCATCTAAAAGTGTCAACTTTTGTATCAAAAAGTACTTGAGTTGGGTAATTGTTAAGTAACCGGCAATCTTTATCTAAAAATGTTGATTATTGCATCAAAAGACAATATC